AAACATAAGTTGCGTTTTCAGGGATTTTGGAGAATGGCAGACATGTGATTTTGGTATTGTGTTTTTGGTGGAGAACAGCGAACAGCACATGGATCTGGGGCCCGCGTTTTTTGGGAAACAAAGTTGTGGCTTTTGAATGGGGGAGAAGGATAGAAGGGAGCGAGTGCGAGGTATTTATACACTACTGGAACATGAGACGATGAGATCTTGCACGTGCTACGGGCTGACTGCGTTCCAAAGTTACTCCCAATGATCGCTACTGCGACATCAGCAACGAACTCAACCTACCCACATTGGCGCAATGACGTCCCATTCTCCTTACCCATCTTCTCAAGCTGTCGCCAGTAACTTCGCCGCTTTATCAATCGCCTCCTTCAGCCAGACGTTCCACTCCAGACACAGCGGCAAGTTCCCATCTTGCAGTGCTTCCATACTTGCCGGCAGCATTTGCGCTTTGTACCCTGCATCTCGTCAGTCAACATCCATAATAAGACCTTTGCTTCTTACCGTCATCCCGATTCGGCGCATACAACGCGTTCTTGTAGGATGGTCGTCCTGGCAAGCCTTCTGCTCTCACAAACAGCCTTTGCACATCGCGCATGATGCGATTCGCCTTCTCTACCCTCACCCCATCCCCCAAGAACTCTTTTTCAGCCGTCCGATCCGCGAAGTCAGATGCGACCTGTTGAAATGTTCTCCCCGCAGCCGCGAGCTCGTTAAGCTTGATCTGACGTTGAAGCTCACCGCTATCCGGCCTTCCCATCGTCTCTCCCACAAGCTCGCGGATCCAGTAATTGAAGTTGCGGGCATAGGCATCCATATCAAACGGAATCAGAGCATCATCCGCAAGATGATACGCTAACAGCGTAATGAACTGCCCTACAGTAGCGTGGATACTAAAGTCGGGATCAATCATAGTCTTCATCCAATGATAAGAGTCGTAATTGCTGTGATAGTGATAAACCGGTGTCGCACTCGACGCATCCATACCGAAGTCCAGCGCACCGATACCCAGTTGGAGGAACACGGTGTAGTCGCTTCCACTGCCGAGATTGGAGAAGCCGTTGTCTTCTGGGCGGAATCGGTAGAGATCGTACCATGCGTCGTAGAGAGTTCTCTTGCCGTAGACGACTTTCTTCATGACTTCTTGCGCGATGGTGCGGAGTTCGGGGGTGGCGCCTGCGCCGGGGAGGGGACCGGCGACGCCGATGTCGACGTTGAGGTAGGTTATTGCTGTGGCGGCAAGCCAGGGGGCGTGTTCTTCGACCCATTCTGTTGAGCCGATTAGGGCGTACTCTTCTGCGTCCCAGGATGCGAAGATGCTAGACATGAGTTAGTTCGTGATGAAGCGACAGAGCGTTGTAGGCTTACATGTTTCGACGAGGCACCCAACCAGTCTTCTGCAGCTCTCCGAAAGCCCTTGTGATCTCGATCATGATAGCTGAGCCTGAGTTCGGATCTGCTGCTCCGCCGACGATCCATGCATCTCGATGATTTCCAATGATGATAGTCTCGTCTGCATTCGTACCATTGATGATACCGATGACGTCCCAGACTGGTGTGATCTTGTCTTCCATGAAGTTCGTGAGAGCAAGAGTAATGCCTGGTGCAGGACCAGTGCTGTATGTTGCAGCCAGACCGCCAATCCACCCATCACGTTTGATAGACCTGCCTGATATGCCATACCTATCCAAAGTTTTCAAAAGGGGTAATGCATCGCGGTAGGAGATGGGTAGAGATGGAATCTTGGGAAGATTTGGTGGGTGACTGACACGCTCGACGCCGGGCTTTGACGCGTATCCGGGAGTTGTTGGATCACCAGGGTACTGATTGATGGACGCAACGGATCCTCGCTGGACGGAAGAGGGTTGGCGCGCTGGACCATCTGCTCGATGTTAGTGAGCTCATACGCGATATGCCAAAGCAAAGGAAGTCGTACTGGGATACGCAGCTTGTCCCTTTGCCACCTGCGGCCCGTCATCTCCAGGATCACTGAACATAACAACTGCCACCATGCCGTGTGCTTCAGCATTGCGAACTTTGACACCTCGGAACGGTCCACCATATTTTGCAAGGGCGATCTTCCCTGCCAAGTTGACGTTGGCCGCCACGAGTGCAGCAAAGTCGTCTTTGTGGCCACGACTATGAGACATTAGTAAAAGTCGTTCAGAGTAGGATGATGGGCAACTTACCCAACATAGACGTACTCGGCTTCTACCTGACCAGAAGCAGAATAGCCATGGAACGCTGGCAATGCTTGACTCTGCGGGTAGCTTGTCGTTTCGTCCTCCGGTAAAGCATCTTCGTACAGTTGAGCCGTGTGTTGAGTGAGATTGCCCGTCTTCAAGACCAGACTTTGCTCTTTCGGGTAATTGAGGAACACTTCATACTCTACTAGTGAAGCAGGTACCCCATTCTCCGTCCATGTTTTTGCAGTTTCCTCCGCCATGGATTTATTGCGTCCAGCAATGTGGTCGCCATGGGTGTAGTAAGAAGACCACGTATCGATAAGAGAAGTTGAGAAAGATGTGTGTAGGATCTTCTCATTCTCATTCCACACCGGTGGGAACGGCGCTGTCTGGCGAGGTACTAGAGGAAGTTGTTGCGACTGCTGGCCGAGATCAAGGCTGCGCAATTCTCGTTGGCATGCTGTTGTCCGTTGCACGGCGGTCAGCGCAAGAAGAAGAGTAAGTATCATGGTTGAGTGATATCTGTTACTGATGGAGTTGTGCTGCAGGCAGGCAGGTAGTGAGTAGATGCAAGGTAAGAGACAAGGGCACGTGCATTTGCACATCCCCCATGAATGGGCAGGAGCAATCGCCCGGTCTCGGTTCCCCTTCCCGAGAGTTAGAGTTCTGTATAGCATGCGTCTCGTATAGTCCCTCTTGTGGAATGTGACAGGGGTGTGTGAATAGCCGATATGATGCTTGGCTGTGTGGTGGTCAGACCGGACGGCCAAGGTCAATGCCATCGCAAACAATCTGGTATTGCTGTACACAGCATGAATCCCAAAGGTGTCCCATAAGAATCAGAAGCCAACCGAGAGTAGCAAAAAGATCAATGAATTTGTATACCTCTTACATGAAAATTCCCCTACTGTACGCTCGCTTTTCCCACTCAAAGCTCGTTATGACCAGGTGTCTCCGGATCTTGTGAGACGTCTTCTGGAACCTCCTCAACCTCAATCTTGACTTGCTCTTCTACCTTCTCCGCCTTTGTCACAGGCTCCTCACCAGCAATTAGAAGGGAGTCAGGTATCTTCTCCTTCTTGCCTTCACCCATGCGAATAGCGTCGACCCATTGCTCAACTTCATCGGCTCCAAAAGAGCTGCCAGAGTATTTCTTGTACCATGCGCGCTTTCCATTGGTGGCAATCAGGTAGACGCCATCTGCACTTCCGAGACCAAGCTCTGTGATGATGGTGGCAGCAAGTGGGTTTGTGGATGAGACGCCGACAAATGGAAAGAGATGGCTGCCGGTAGCATCATATTTCTTGTGGATGGATGCAAGGGATGCAATGGCAGTGGCTGCAGCCTCCGAGGCTTCGTCCTTGGGAAGGAGGGCCAAGACGCAAGTCTTGCTCTGTTCGGTCAAGCACATTGTCTGCAGTTCGGCAGATTCGGATACGAGAGGAATGGTGGGCTTGGTCTCTTCTACCGGAAGCTCGATCGGGTCGGGTGTGTTCTCGTCCTTGACATTTGGATCAGGCGATTCGGTAGGCATGCCAGCCTCCTCTACAGTCTCATCAGTCGCTGATGCGGCAGCTGACGATGAGTCTGCTGACTTGTGCGAAGCTGAGGCTTTCGCAAATTTGCTAGAGGACTTGGATTCCTTCTTGGCGTCCTTCTTAGCCTTGGACTTCTTCTCTTTGCCGGGTGGGCAGTCGGGGTTTGGTGGGGCGACTTGGGAGAGGAATTCGACCATGGCTGCTTTATCGACCTTGCCCTCATGCTTGATAGGGGTCTCGGAGCCGGCGGAAATGAGGATCAAGCTTGGGAAATCGGTGATCCCATACTTTTCCACTGCTGCCTTTTCCGACTTCTTGACCTGTGCGACCGAGACGATGCCAGCGAAGTCAATCGCTAGGGCGCGTAGTGTAGCACTGACGATACCCTTCTCACTGAAAAGGATAGCCTTGGCAGTGTCCTTGTTCTCTTGGAGCCACTCGTTCAGGTTCTTGTCGTTGACCCTCTTGACCACGTTGGGAACCTTGTCCTTGACGGCGTCAACGATGCCCTTGGCGGAACGAGGCCCTTGGTAGTCCTCCACCGTAGGCTTCCCAGGCTTTTTGCCAGGCCGGACGATCTTGAGGGTAGGGAAACCCTGTACACCCATCTTTCCGCAGAAGGGCTTGTTCATTTCCTCATCGCAGTTGACAGCGGCGACCTTGGCGATACCGGCGAGGGATTTGGCGGCCGTCTCGTAGGCGGGCTTGAGGTTCTTGCAGTGGCCGCACCATGGCGCGTAGAATCTGGGAGGTGTCAGGAAGGAACGTGACGATGATTGGAGATGGCTTACTCGACAATCTAGGGAGTTGTTAGCTAGTCCTCGCTATCAGATCGGAGGTATACATACAGAAGTGTAGTTAGACTTTGCGATTACTCGGTCATAGTCCATGCCGGAGATCTGGACGACGGCGCTATTCTTGCCGTAGATGCTCTCGGCGTGGGCATTGAGGGCCAGCGCGGCCGTGGCGGCGAACAGCGTGGTTGCGCGGACCATGGTTGCAGTGTAAGTAGAGTTGCGAGGATGAAATGGGGAATGAGCAGGAGGGGCGCCGCTGCAGTGATGATATAGCCTCACATGGCGGAGTTGCCAGGTTGGCCTTTTCTTTCACTTGTAACAGCTTGCCATAAGTTGCATGGCCATAGCTGAGATGCGGGGAGACAGGGGTCAGAGTCCGGACTAGCGCCTATGACCGCATTCTAGGCGCCTGCATCTCTACGCATCCATCTCCAGACTAAACACCGCGTCTTCCTAGTACACGATCTACTCCAACAATGGCCGACACAGTACCGGCAAAGCTCAAGAGCCTGCAGCTCGCGTCCTTCGCGAAGCGCGCCGCCCAACTCGAGCGATTCAAGCCCATCATGACCTACTGGTGTGAGTACCGCGCGCGTTGACACGAGAGTTGTATACTAAAGCTACACAGTACGCTTCTACATAGTCCAAAGAATTATCGCAGGTGGACTACACTCGGCGGACCAAGAATGCACCGCCTACACCACCGATCTCATGGAGAAGCTCGAGCAATCAAAGGCCGAGAACCCCAACGAGGATGCCTTGCTGGATGACACGGTCGCAAGCGCATACTGCGAACAGTTCGCGCTACAGACTCTCGCAAAAGCAGAAAGGGAGATGGCTGAGAACAGAGTCAATGGGTTCGTATTACAGTCTTATCGCTGCCGCTTCATCTGACATCCTCCCAGACAAACAGCCGATACCCTCCTCGCCGCCTCCACGTTCCTCGAGATAATGTCGATATGGAAGAACAACGATCCAGAGATCACTTCGAAAACCAAGTTCGCCAAATACCACGCGCTACGCATCGTCAAAGCCATCAAGGCCAACGAAGACCCCAATGCGACAAACCCCGTACAGGAAACACCGCAGCAGCCCATGTCGCCGTCTGCTCTAGATCCAAACGACCCAGAAGTCCAGCGCATAAACCAAGGCGCTCCACCCCCGAACCCATACCAACCATCTGTAGAGACAGCACCGAATACCTCTACCCAGCCATCGCCCAACTTCTCCGCACGCCAAGTATCACCACCACCTCCCAATCTCCCTTCTGCACCTACTGGATACACTCAGTCATCGCACAACGATGTATCTCCAATATCACAACCCGCCACCTCGAGGCAGGGCTCTGTCGTTTCGATCGGTGGTGGATACTTTCCGAGGACCAATGCTCCAGATCCTCCTACATTCACGGCAGAGACGACGGCACCAGGTCTACCAACCGCTCCAATGGACATAGACCCCATGACGTCTTCTCTGCCCACGAGCCCTCAGCCACCACAAGCCCCGGAACCATCAGACCCTGCAAGCTTCTATCAAAACCCGGCGTCTCCTGCGCATGCTCAGGCTCCTCAGCAGCCACCACCTCAAAACCAGTACCAATCTCCAACGCCCCCGCAAGTTCCGCAAAAGCCCCAGAGATTATCTTCCAGCTTCGGAGCACCCCCGCAACAACATCAGTTTGTTTCGCCTTCGCCACAGCCGCCGCAACAATACCAACAAGGCGGATTCTCCCAGCCTGCTCAGCCGCAGTACCAGTCAACGTCCCACCAGAATCCATACGCTCAACCACAACCTCCTCTCCAGCAAACATCGCAGGGTCCGTTCAGGAATGACGAAGATTCCATCATGGAAGCTACGAAGCACGCCAAATGGGCCATTTCTGCCATGAACTTTGAAGATGCAGATACTGCTGTGAAGGAGCTACGCACAGCGTTACGGGCTCTGGGTGCGTTATAGCAACGTGGTCATTCTTATGTGGCATGAAGAGGAGAGGAACATGGATCTACAATCTCCGTATCACTTGTTAGTTTGATGTATACCCCTGTGTTATAGATAGATGCACCGTTTTCAAGAGGTGAGCCGAAGTAGCTACAATGATACACAAGCTTTGATCATGCACCATCAGAGTTACGAACGCAAGCGCTATCTCTAGTACCTAGACGTAGTCAATCTTGATATAATGATATCCAAGTGAAGATCATCAAGCGCATTTGTCGGCCGTATATCCACAATTCTGCCAAGACTCTGTCGTGCACGTGCCTTAGGTCCAAAGCTTAAGAGCCGAAAATCCAACCACCTTGTTCTCACCCTCTATCGACCTTCACATCACAAGGGCGACTGCATGTAGTCATGCATCTGAAGCTCATTCGTAAAAGCTGTAATTCATGATACAGTGGCGAAGATGGCGCCCATCACACCTCTCAATGCGGCGGATATAACTGAAAAAGCGCGCCGGGAGCTGCTACTCCTGCTCGAGGGTGTAAGGTAATATCAACGTCGCAGGTCGCTGCACCATCTAACGCGTGCGGACAGATCAGAGGAAAGAAGAACCTCGTACTAGAGAAAGCTCTCGCAGGCCCGTTGAACTTGCTCGTCAAGTTCTCCACGCTCCAGGAATACGGCGTCGACAAGCCCTTCTTCCTTGAGAACGACAATGTCGACTCTTCCCAGCGCAACATCGTCTTCCTCGTTAGAGGCGAGAAAGCGAAGACTGTGATGGCTGTTGCTGGTAAGTGAAGCTCCCTCGGCTTCCTTTCCTCCATCTGCCTCACGGCATTTGGAGCTTTGGGTCAAAAAGTAGGCTAGACAGACAGTACCCACTCTGCCTAGCCAGTCTTGATCCCTAGATTGAACATAGCACTTTTTTTGGATTGCCCTTCATCTCCATGTAGGAGCAGTCTATTGTACGGTGCTAACATACTAGATAGATCAAATCAAACGTATTCGGCGAGACAGCCAGATTGAACATGAATTCTCCATCTTCTGGGTGCCGCGCCGTACTATGACCTCGGACCAATTACTTGAAGAGGCGGGCGTCTTGGGTGAAGCTAGCGTGAGCGAATGGCCGCTGTTCTTCGTGCCGCTTGCAGATGATGTGCTATCGCTTGAACTTGAAGATGCTGTGTCAGATCTTTATCTCGTATGTGCGTCCTGGAACTGGTGCGGATTTGATACTAACCTTGCGTAGAAGAAAGATCCTACCGCGATCTACTTGTCGGCCAAAGCACTCATGCTTCAGCAACAGAAGTATGGTCTCTTCCCGCGCATCATCGGAAAAGGTGATAATGGCAAGCGACTCGCCGACCTACTCATCCGTATGCGTACCGAAGTAACGGCCGGTGAGACCTCTGCCGGCGGCGGACCTTCATTCCTGGGCTTAGCACCTAGTTCCAATATCGACAGCCTCATCATCGTTGATCGGGAAGTCGACTTTCCCACAGCGCTACTGACTCAGTTGACATATGAGGGACTCATCGACGAAGTCTTCAATATCACCGCCAACCAGACTGAAGTCGACTCTTCCATAGCTGGTGGTGCACAGCCCCAGCAAGGTCAGACGGGATCAGCATCGACGAGCATGAAGCGCAAGATTATGATAGATTCGAAAGACAATCTGTATGCTGATCTGGGTGATGCGAACTTTGCTATCGTCGGTAACTTGCTCAACCAAGCAGCTCGTCGTCTGCAGAGCAGCACAGGACGCGACCAGCTTGCCACAAAGACGACTACAGAGCTTCGTGACTTTGTCGCCAAGTTGCCCGGTTATCAGGCCGAGCAAGCAAGCTTGAAGCTACATACCAGTCTGGCTGAGGAGATTATCAAATTCACGCGCACCGACATCTTCACGCGGAGTTTGGAAGTGCAGCAGAATATCATGTCTGGCGCCGACCCAACAACACAACACGATCTCATCAACGAGCTCATCAACCGTGATGTACCGCTACCCGCCATCCTTCGCTTGCTTTGCCTAGAGTCCACCACCAACGCCGGCATCCGTCCGAAAGATCTCGAAGCCTTCAAACGTGCCATCATTCAGGCCTACGGCCCACAACACATCCTGACCCTCGCCTCCCTCGAGAAAATGGGCCTACTAGGCCCACGAGGCGGCGTAAGCCTCGGTGGCGTCGGCGCGCCCGCCAAACCCGGCAGCGTAACAAACTACACGCCCCTGCGCAAGAGTCTCAAGCTCTGGGACGATGACGTAAACGAAGCAAGCCCCAACGACATCAGCTACACCTTCTCCGGCTACGCACCCCTCAGCGTCCGCATCATCCAATCCATCATCCAGAAACACACCCTCGCCAACGCCATCAAACCACCCTCCGACCCCCGCGCAAGCGCCCAGGCCAATCCCCTCGCCCAAGGCCTCCGCATCTTCGACGACGCTAGCAAATACATCCGCGGCGCCACATTTGATGAGACGCAGAAGGGCGAGGAGAAGGCCGTTAAAGCGCGGCAGCTGTTGAATGGAAGTGCAGGTGAGAAGAACAAGACTATTGTTGTTTTCTTCCTGGGCGGAGTTACGAGGGCTGAGATTGCGGCGCTGAGGTTTGTGGGCGAGAAGTTGAAGGAGAGTGGTGGGGAGGGCAGGGGCAGCAGGATTGTGGTTTGTGCGACGAACGTGGTCAAGGGGGAGGGGTTGGTTGGGAGTGCGATTGAGAAGCAGAGGTTTAAGGCTTGAGATGGTGGTGGTAGCCGTGATAGCGCACATATGTCGATGTAGACTCTCCTAATGAACTTCTCTTCAAGAACGGTGTCACCTCCTGTCTATGGCTGGCCGGCATAGAGGAAGGGAAGAAGAAGGCATGCTGTGGAGAATGCTCCTTCCTCCAGAAAGAAGCCATCATGTCCCATCCTTCGAGTTACTGGTATAGCAGCCATCACTGCATTGACGCACCACGCTGTCTTCCTACTCTGGTCTGTCTGGCGTCTTCGCCTGGCTAAGTTTCACTTCGTGACTGGATTGTTCGACATCTTGCGAGCCTTACTTCTGTCCGCGATGAGAGGTGGATTTGGTACGCACCCACAAACCACACTCAAGGGTGCTGGCGAATTTACCAAATACATGGGCCCATCATCTTGTCGAGATGCCGATCATGGTGTAGCCTGGAGGTACGCGGTGGGAGCGATAGCGACAGGGAAAGTGTCATGATGGGGTCTGATGTGACTCGGACTGTGTTGGAAGGGCTTGACCGTGCAATGTCAGGACAGAGCCAGGAGGTATTCGCTGCTCATCGCAAACACCATCGGTGGCAAATACAGCAATGTAGTCGTCACAACAACAATCACAACGATCATGTATTCAGTGAAGTCATTTCAATTTCCTTTCCACTCTCTTCATGTAGCTACCTCGTGAGTTACATAAGAGACATTGACCGCTGGCATACTTTTGCAGAACATCCATTACGATCGTTTCGTCAGGCATCGTCGTGAAAGTACAAAGAAGACTTTTCCGCGTTCCTGAATACCGGGAACCCATGAAAGATAAGGAACCAAACACACCAAGTCTATCGTTAAATGCCGCAATAGATGAAACTCCGTTCGCAGCTCGCAGTCTGGGTATCCTGCACGTGCGCCCTTCCTTCCTTCCTGCACGCCCTTGTGGCGCTGCTGTCATGTGATGCGCTTATCGGGTGGAGAAGGCCTTGGTGACAGTGCGCTTGAGCGCAAGCTCCTTCTTCTTCAGGTCATCAGCGGGGGCGTCCTCAACCTCGAGCTGAGCCATAGCGTCAGAGAGAGCAGACTCAATCTTCTCCTTCTGGCCACGCTTGAGGCGGATGGATGTGGTGGGGTCGGAGATCATCTCCTCAACGCGGGAGATGTAGGACTCAAGCTGTTGCCTTGACTCGAACTTCTTGCTGAAGGCCTCGTCGGAGGACTTGAACTTCTGGGCGTCGTTGATCATGTTCTCGATGTCGGCAGACGAGAGCTTTCCGACAGCGTTGGAGATGGTGATGTTGGCGCTGCGGCCGGAGGTCTTCTCGGTGGCGGTGACCTTCAGGATACCGTTGACGTCAACCTCGAAGACGACCTCAAGGACGGCCTCACCAGCGCGCTGGGAAGAAGTCAGTAACGGTGCGTAACATGAGGTGCAAAAATCTGCTCACCATGGGAGGAATTGGCGCGAGGGTGAACTCTCCGAGAGAGGTGTTGTCCTCGCAGTTGACACGCTCACCCTGGAAAACGGGAAACTGAACAGTCTGCTGGTTATCTGTCCACAATCAGTACGTGTCTCGTCAAAGAATGTTCTCGGGTGTACGAACCGGCCACAGTGGTGAAAGTCCTCTTCTTGATGGTCTGGGTTCAAAAGTCAGCGAATGCCAAGTCATCTGGTGATGGCAATACATACAGGGACGGTCTGACCACGGGGAACGACGGGAGCGAAGATGTTACCCTCCATGGCTACACCAAGGGAGAGGGGAACGACATCGAGAAGGAGGAGGTCGGCAGTCTCGGCGGAGGTGGCCTTTCCGGAGAGGATACCAGCCTGGACGGCGGCACCGTAGGCAACAGCCTCATCGGGGTTGATGCTCTTCTCAAGCTTCTTTCCGTTGAAGTAGTCGCTGAGGAGCTTCTGGATCTTGGGGATACGGGTGGAACCACCAACAAGGACGATCTCGTCAACCTTGTCCTTGGCGATGGCGGCGTCCTTGAGAACCTGGGCAACGGGGTCCAGAGTGCCAGCGAAGGCCTTCTGGTTCAAGTCCTCGAAACGAGCACGGGTGATGTTGGCGTTGAAGTCCTCACCGTCGAACAGCGAGTCGATCTCAACAGTGGTCTGGGTGGCGTTGGAGAGGGTACGCTTGGCACGCTCGCAAGCAGTCCGGAGACGACGGAGGGCACGGGCGTCACCGCTGATGTCTATGTGGGAGTTAGCTTCATCCTCAGAGAAAACAATGACAGCAACACCTAAACAGCGTTACAGCCTACATCAGGCTGAAAGAGTGCAAAGTAGGCCACCCGACGTTAATGTAGGCTCCAGGGTGTATTGCTCATACCTTTCTTTGTCTTCTTTGTGAACTCCTTCTTGAAGTGGTCAAGGAGGTTGGTGTCGAAGTCCTGACCTCCCAAGTGAGTGTCACCGGCGGTAGCCTTGACGGTGAAGACACCACCCTGGATGTGGAGAAGAGACACATCGAAAGTACCACCACCAAGATCGTAGATGAGGACGTTCCTCTCCTTGTCAGACTTTCCGGAACCAAGACCGTAAGCGATAGCGGCGGCGGTAGGCTCGTTGATGATACGGAGAACGTTGAGGCCAGCAATGGCACCGGCGTCCTTGGTGGCTTGACGCTGGTTGTCGTTGAAGTAGGCGGGAACGGTGATGACGGCCTTCTCGACCTTCTTTCCGAGCTTGGTCTCAGCGACCTCCTTCATCTGTTGATTTTGTTAGCCATTGCCCCGCCATGCTGGTGTGTGCGCAGATCTTACCTTGACGAGAACCATGGCAGAGATCTCCTGGGGAGAGAACTGCTTGGTCTCGCCGAGGTACTCAACCTCGACGAGAGGGCTGCCGCCCTGGTCAACGACCTTGAATGGCCATGACTTAATGTCCTTTGTGACGGTCTCGTCCTCGAATCGGCGACCAATGAGACGCCTGCGAAAGTCAGTCGGCTGATCGTGCGCGTGCGACGATGGAACGGCAGAACTCACTTGACATCGAAGACGGTGTTCTCGGGGTTCATAGCAGCCTGGTTCTTGGCCGCCTCACCGATGAGACGCTCCTCGCTGGTGAAGGACACGAACGAGGGGGTGGTGAAGCTACCCTGCTCGTTGGCGACTGTGGGCAAACATTGTTAGACAATGGTCTCTGAGTGCAGGAGTGGCGGGCGCATACTGATCTCGACATTGGTGCCCTCGTAGTTGGCAACGCAAGAGTAGGTGGTGCCTGCGATATTGTTAGCACACACGCATCCCACTGTGGGGTAATTCGCGAAATTTACGCACCAAGATCGATGCCGATGGCACCCTCGTAGACTTCGTCGCTCATGATTGCGGTATGTGTATAAGGAACAACCTGAAAAATTGAAGAGCAGGAAGGTGTTGGAGAGAAGGTGGAAAAGAGGGTTGGGAATCTTTTTCGCGCTTGCTTAAAGGCGAGCGATCAGAGAAAAATTGGCCTGGCAGGGATCTCTCGTAGTGTCGGCGAATGACGCTAGGCAGACTCGGTTAACCTGGCGCGGCGCTTATCGATACTCGATGAAAAACCGCCCATCCAACATCGATATATCTTCAAGCCTCGGCCCGCTGAGAAAGAAAACAGTCCGGACCGTGACATTGAGAGGGTGCCCCGCAGCCAAGCTTTCTCATCTTCTAGGAGGGTTTTGAAACACGACCTGCCTATATCCTCAGTCTTGCCAATCCACGCCGGTGCACGCCCGGCGCTATCACCTGGAAACACTTTGGAACGTTGAGTGGTACGGTAGTTGTCTAGCAGACTGACCCAGTCTTGAAGCTGGCCCATCTTTTTGCCCCTCATGTCAGTCCCATAGACGCCAGAATCAACACTTTGGCTACCTTCCTCGGTATTACATCAGTTCCAGCTTAGGAAGCTTACCGTGGTATGCGTGTAGCGTCATGATCTCGGAACCTCTCTAACGGTCGAGGATTACGGTGAATGCCTAGCATTATGGTCCAGATCAGGCGTCGAATTCTCATCTGGTGTATCATGTTGCCCTTCTCGCCAGATCCGTGGAACCCGAATACGAGACCATGTCTTTCCTCGCGGTAGGCTATATCCATGGCCAGGTTCGCATTCCCACCTATGTATACGCCTAGGGTCGTCATATCGATCTTTTCAAGCATTTGGACTGCCATGTGTTTGTCTGAGACGTCGGACCAGTCCAAACATTTCCCCAGGTCCGAACGATACTGATGTTTGTCTACTTCAATATTGGCTATGATACGCAACTGCACTACATGCAAGCTTCCCTTATACGCAGACACCATTACCATCCATATACCAAGCGGCCTTTCGGTGGGCATTGGTAGAGGGAAGTTACCAGATTCGGCTGCTTCATTAGACCCATCTCTTCTTCTCGGATCCGTAGTCTTCTTAATCAAACGGGACATCCCAACCGCCGTTTGATACTTTCCGATCTCTTTCTTTCAAAGTCTTTCCAATCCCTTTACTGTATCTACTTCCCTAATCCTAGAGATCCTATGCGACCATATCACCAACAATCACAGATCACAATGTCTAGCACCCGACCCTGCTACATCAGCAGCAGCGAAGGCAAATTCTCCGCCGCATTCACCCCCCGCGTTATCGGTGCCTTCTCCACTCGAGCCCTAGCCGTCGCCTCTGTCAAAAAGAACAAACCATGCTACGTGCGAATATCTGATTACTTTGAGCCTAGGGTTAAAAGATACGGTGGCAACGATTGCAACTTCAAAATCGTTCCACAGCACGGCGACATAGTTGGTACGTCTACAAATTTTACTCACACTACTCACACTGTCTTCCTGGCAATCGACGCATGTGGCAACAGTATCGTCGAAACAAACATATTGGGCACGGCGCATGACGCGTGGGCAGCATGCAAATCTATGAAGCGTAGGTATGGTAGCTACTGGAAGGATGAGAGAGAATGGACTGACAACAACGGATGTAAACACGGCGAGGCGGAGTTCAACATAACGACCTTTAGCACCCCGACGGAAGTTGGAGATGATATGTCACAGCAGTTGGCTGGCTTAAGATCAACGGGCATGTTGAAACATCACTGGTATGTCAAGGAGGTTGTGATTGACGAGGAAGAAGAATGATAGGACCGCGCTACTTGGTACAAGTCTCAGAGCGTGCAGTCAGAGAGCTGAGTTTGCCGACGTTACGATTTAGCACCACCGCGTAAAACGGGTGTATATGGGAAACCTGTGGTAACTCATTCAACAAACTGGAAGTTACTAACAGATACTACCATATGCAAATGCCGATCACGTAATGTGCCACAACGCTACATTCATGTCAATGAAAATTCTTGTCTACAATAGCCTTTTGTCAGTTGACATAGGTCTTGGGATAGCGCTTTGCATTCTCTTCGGAAGCTTCGCGAACTCTGTCTTCTTCAACAAGTTCTTGGAGCTGCGGCTCTGCCTCTTCCTCCAGCTCTTCTGCATCGTTATCTTCTTCCCCTAGCTCCTCTGCATCGTTCTCCTCTTCCTCTAGCTCCTCTGCATCGTTCTCCTCCCTATCTTCCTCGTCTTGTACTGCCTCGTCCTCAGTGTCATCACAATAGCCTTTTGTCAACAGACGTAGGTCTTGGGATAGTGCTTTGCGTTCTCGGTCTTCTGAGATGCCTTGAGAACTGGGGTGGCGTTTTCTCCCTGTTGTCTAGAGTACATCTTCTGATACCTGAGGTTCATCTCGCGTGTTAGAGTCGCTATGTCCCCGAGTTTCTCAGATAGTATATTGTGGTTTCATTCGATAGGGTCAAGTAGGTATGTAAGGTTCTTCTCCTCCGAAATGGCGCTTAGGGTTGAACTAAGAGTGAGCGGATCAATGATTCTACGTCGGAAAAAAGTGTAGTGGAGACTACATGGTCCGAAAATGGAGTCTAGCTTGGTTTGAGGACATCATGTAGGCGACAAGCTGGACAAAGTTTTAGGCTTTACAACACAACCAAGAAGCTGTATTCGTAGAAGCTCAGGGTAGAAGATGGTCACATTCCTTGTGACAGACTTCTGACAGTGATAGACTGTACTGCTTGGTAGGAGAAGCATCAAAGACGACAGTATGTCTCTCAATAGCGAGCGCCTTCCACGAATCATAGGAGAAGTCAAGGCTGCACACAAAGTATCGCCGTCCATATTCGATAGTCATGAGACCTGCCGTTACGTCATATCCATTCCCATATCCCCTCCCTTTAGCCATACAATGAACGCCCTAAACACCAATACCATGCTTTAGCCCGTCTAATCCCTCTTTCCCAAAAACGCACCCCATTCCCTCCATACCCCTCAGACCGTCTCATCATGAAAGACAAAATTAATATCTCTCGGCCGCTGAGTGTTATACCTCACAAAGTTCTCATCTCCTTGCGGCCTCTCCTTCTTCGTGTTGCTCGTCAGCATACTCTGAAGACTGACACACACGCTTTCGACGTTGTGGACGGGGGACCAGCCGGAGCGGTCGAGCAGGTCGAGGCAGATGATGCCGTTGGAGTAGATGTGTGGGTGCCAGGGTATGGGGTGGGTCTCGTCGCGGAGGAAGATTACTTCTGGGGCCTGTTGGGAGGGAGGTTAGCGAGGTTTGGTTTGGGGGGAGGGTGCGGATATTGGGTGTGTGGGTACAGGAGCGTAGGAAAGGGTGGTAGGCAGTTAGTATAGAAAGAGAACACGTACCTCAATAGGATACTGCGGAGTAAAGCTAAATTTCAACCGATACGTTTCGCCCGCGTACAACGGATTCGAGTCCATAACTTGAATGTCCATGAGCCAGGTTTGGAAGTCGTCAGCCTTAATGAGAGTTATGCCTGGCGGGAGTTTTTCGTGCATCTATACGCCGCTGTGTTAGCGGCTCTGTCCCTCCGTGTGTGAATCTCCATATCCGTTGCCTTCACATCGTGGCCATATTGTGTGTGTAGGCTTCCGCGCGTCGATACGTGGAGTTTGTAGGCGTCTGGTGGGCAGCAACGTGCTTCGACGGGCGATGAACAATGTACGAGAGGATTACGGTACCTTTGCGAGCTCCTATAATATGTGTTAGCCTCTAGATCCTTACATACATTGCATTGCACTCAAGCTCTATCTCAGTGCTCAAGACCGTGATAACATACCTTGCCTAACCTTTTCGACGCGAACATCTCGAGATGTGCAGCAGCAGTGCGCCTCTCAACCTGGGGTGTACGCGTGGGTATATGTAGCTAACAATGTATCCTGGGAGGACGCAGAGTGAATGACGTGTATCGTAGTTTCGTTCCGAGGTAGCTGAACAGCTCACAAGCTTATGGACAAGCTGCGACCCTGCAGGTGGAATGGACAACGTGTGGGGGAGGGGCAACCGCGCGCGTATCAGGTAGCAGCCCAGGATTAAGTAGCGGCCAGGAAGTTCGATCGTGGAATTGGAGTGAGCGACAGGGAAGAGGCTGGAAGGCACGAGGTAGAGGTGATAGGACGTGTGAATTGTTTGCGCGGTCGCTGCCTGATGTCTCGGTGCTCGGCTTTGTTGCGAAGGTTGGTTCACGCGGCGCGCCAGGGCGGAACGCGGCTATCCAGGTACATTTTGCTGTGAACCATCTGGGCATCCTCGTAGTTCACCAACCATGCTCTTCAATACTAGATGGCACTAGAGATATCTGTAGTCTATACCGCATCCACCCAAATTATCATTGACGTAGAAGTATATTTCGCCTTAGTGAGTACCTATCTATCAACATTTAACACTGTGCATGTGGCAACACGAATCTGAGCCACGGCTAGTAATGGATATTTTGTTGAATATTCGAAATAGTATTGACCCGTGATATCTCTCGCGCCATACGCCATACCGTAGCTTTTCCTAGCCAAGTTGTACACACCTGCAGAAGACACTGCAACGGAAATCATTACTATAAACGCGATGTAGAACCAAGAAGAATACGCTCAAGAACGACGCTCGAGGCCTACGAGTAAAAGGCGCCCTTCTGGAAACTCTCAACACCCATATCGCCCGCCTTGCTATCCACCTTCGGACCAACCTTCTCTGGTACTGGTGCTGGGGCTCCGGTCATGGTGGCAGTCCTGCTCGCGGCGCTGCTGTTCGTCATTGTCTGTGTTCTGCTACCAGCTGGGCTTCCGGCCTGGCTTCCACTAGTAATCTGTGCGGGTGTCTTGCGCTGGATAGGCTCGAGGTAAATGCCCGGAAGGTAGCCCATGCGTCCGTCTCTTGATCTGCACCTCCACCATTCTGATGCGTTGCCCATGGGATCGCTCTTGCTGAGCACAGCAACCATGTCTCCCTTCTTCACCGACAAGTCCATTGCATGCATGTTGGCGTTGGGTGTGAAGTCGTAGAGCGCGCGGCAGAATTCGAGCTTGTTGGGGTCGAGGGGCTGTCCTGCTTGCGGGTTCTCTAGCATCTTCTGTTGCTCTTGGGCTTCTTGTGATCTCGCAAGCGCCTTGATGAGTTTGCCCATTAGGTAGGGGAGACCGAAAACGGCGAGCATGAAAACGATAAATGGCTTCTTGGAAGGCTTTGCGGGAGCTGGCGAGCCGTCGGGCATACGTCCGTTGAAGGCTGCGAAACTCGCGGGGGTGAGGGCGGTCGCATCTGCTGGTAGGGGTCGTCCGGTGAGCTTTGCGATTGCCGTCCGTATCCATCGCATTATTGTGTAGATGCCCAATACCGAGCCAAGCGTTTGTCGTAGGTTTCCGAACTGCTCTGCTACAGATACCATGGCTGAGGATGTTAGCATATCGCTGAAAGTTGGAAAGGGGCGGACGTACCGAAGAATGACGAATGTGTCGCCATATATGTGCTCTGAAGCATCTGGGCAAAGCCGCCGAATGCGCCGACAATGTTCTCAATCAACTGAAAAGTCGCTGCTGTGCTCTGGCTGAAGGACTGCGTGAGGCTGCTGTTTGGGTCGCCCTGCATGCCTCCCATACCGCCGTACATTCCGCCCATGCCCATGCCCATACCTCCCATGCCGCCGTACATGCCACCCATACCGCCCATTCCACCGTACATGGAGCCGTAGCCACCCCCCATGCTGGAGTAGGGCGAGCTGTAGCTGCTCATTCCACCATATCCGCTGCTGTAGGGGGAGCCGTATCGGTTGTTCATGCTCGAGTAGTTGGACGCGTTGCGGTTCGCGACGGTGCTGAGTGAGTCTGGTACGGATGGTAGTGGAGGCGCACTCGAGGATGTGGCTGTTGAGGTGGGTGCTGTGCTGCTATTCGATCCAGTGAGGCCTGTGTTGTTGTTAGTCGCGGCGTCCCTGACGTATCGGATGGCTGGCGGACTCACCAACCGAGGCACTCGTCGCGCCATTGCTCGTCTCCCAGGGCTTTGGCGGCGATGGCGCAGACATGTTTCAGTGTGTACCTCCTCCGCGCTATGTGCGCAGTACAGAAAGTGACTTTGCAGAGACGATGGCGGATGTCGTCAGCAAACGTCGGGAGGCTGGCAATTCGCGGCGATCGGGGCAGCGAGTTTTTGCGGGGAAACTGCGCCGGCCGAGACTGGCAATCGCTCAAGGGGCGGATCCGCGTCGACAGTGGCTGCACGTGAGCAGTAAGTTGGGCGATGGTTTAGATGCGAAGACGCGACGTTGGGTGTAGACGGTAATGGAGGCGATGAGTAGATGCGCAATGTTGTCGGCCGGGATGCGGCTGGTCGTCGTTCACGGACTCTGAGTCGCGAACAGACCTCGGTTTCTCGTGCCCGCTTGGGCAGGCCTATCCGTCAGCTTGCCACCACCCCAATCGCCGGCCCACTCCGCTGCATCGCCCATGTCCGTCTTCAGATGATTGTTACATCACGTGTGAGCCTGCCTCGGTCGCCAGTCTCACGCATCGGGAATAAAAGAAAATGGTCTTCTTGTGCAAGAGCACTTCGGTTGTACTGCTAGGTGTATGGTTGCATGTGAGATGTCTTCACACGAATATCTCAATCCTCCAGGCCTAAAAAACATCCACCTCAGTCCCCAATAGCATACAGAGAATGCACCCAGCTATCCGGATCGTATGCCACCAACTTCTGAATCGCATCATTTGACATGCTCTCTGAAAAGTCAAAGTCGTCGTCCAACACCAATGCCGTGATGTGAGGATAGTGCCAAACAACCGCAAACTTCATCTTCTTCCCTACTGGTCTGCTGAAGTAGTTGGAGTCACCACCCTCTAGATTGCCCTGCCGATGTATAGTCGACTTTGCGCGTTCGGCGCCTTTGCTGAGAAGCTCGAATGCGTCGAACTCGCCACAGCCGGTTGACCAGCATGAGCAGGGAATGTTGTTGCGGTCGTTGCCGTACTGGAGGATGCGAGGTATGGCTGCGTTGAGGAACCAGTAAGCCGGGGCGTCAGAGAGGAGGCCTTGGTCCGTGCCTACGTTGTCGTAGTGGTCCATTTGGAATTCGATGAAGAAGGCTTTCGAGGAGCCTGACCAGCCGTAGTGAGATGTCGCGTCGGGTCTCCAGTACGGACAGTCTGCGTCACACTCTTTATCGGAAAGGACCACGATTTCGTTCTCAGACGTCTTTAGCGTGCCTTCGAACGGCTGACTCTCAGCTGCTACTTTGTCACCCCGGGGAGTGACGTAGCTGAGCGAGTTTCCAAATGCACTGAACATGTCAGCTTCGAAACTTCTGGAACAAGAAAACACTCACTAGTCAAAAGTACCAGACTTTTGAGGATCACCCAGGTTAGCCATAAAGCTGAGCCCGGTGGCTTGAGCCGGTGATGTAGACGTGTAGTATGCTATCCGCTTCCAATCTGAACCCTGCCTCTTCGAGACGGGCGATGGCGAGGGCGAAGGGATGTCAAAAGGTTGTCCATCTGGACGCTGTGATACTGGTAATGGGTCTTGTGGAGGTGACGGTGAGGGCGAAGGGATGTCAAAAGGCTGTCCGTCCGGTCGCTGCGATACTGGTAGCGTCTCTTGTGGTGATGATGGTGAAGGCGAGGGTACGATTGGCTGTCCATCTGGGCGCTGAGACACCGTCGATATGCCTTGCATTGATGATGGCGAGGGCGAGGGGAGTTGAATAGGTTGTCCGTCTGGCAGCTGCGACACCGGTAGTATGTCTTGTGTTGATGACGGTGAGGGCGAAGGGGAATCGAAGAGCTGTCCGTCTGGACGCTGGGACACTGGTAATGTGTCTTGCGGTGATGATGATGAGGGTGAAGGGACCTCGAAGGGCTGTCCATCTGGATGCTGTGACACTGGTAGCGTGTCCTGTGTCGATGATGTTTCCGGTGCATGTTTTAGCGTTGGCGTTGGACTGACGTAAACCTGCCCGTTGGGTCGCTGAAAGATGGGTTCGGGCTCTTCGTTTTCAACGCAAGTACAGTTCGGATCTGGAAGTGTAGAGCCAGAGATCGATTGAGCACCAGACGTGGGCAAGCACGGCAGTGGAGGACCTATGTAGGTTGTGTTTGGTCCAGACTGTGCAGTACCAGTCGGGGGGCAGGGCGCCTTTACGGTCACCGTCCGTGTTACTGTCGTCGAGACGCAGCTGGACGATGTGGTGCATGCATCCCTGTTGAAAAGGTTGGGCCGGCCAGAGGACGTCGACTGTGTCAGCATAGTAGTTGCCACTGGTGTCTCTGGCTGCTCCAACGATCGCCGACGGTTGTAGAAAGGTACTGTAGTTCGCTTCCCCATAGCGCGCGCGTCACCAGGTAGTTGGTATACGGCGAGTTGAGAGACGTTCATCGGCCCGCGAAGGTGCATCGACACCTGATCCTGTCAGCCATGTAACAACTGGAGCCCGAGTCAAACTATACTTGTCCGAACAATGGTGTCAGTGGTCCTGCGCTAGGATAGTCGACACGTTCATGACCACAAATACCAGTCTTTGGATCGACTGTAGTGGTCCGATTATAGGCACCAGGCTGGCTGATGTTGCGGTAGGTGATGGCCCAGACCTCAGAACAGTACCAGTTGCCATCAGAGGATAGTTCAGCGGTACCGCGACATAGCTCTTTGGCGGTTCTGCTGTAGGCGAGGGGGAGGAGGATGACTGCGCTTAGTATTGTATGCTTCATGCTGAATAATTGAAAGAGGCTATTGTACGAGCAATGGGTTGCGGGATGTGTATGAAGCGTGAAAGAAAACGTTGGAGTGAGGTAGGGTTGTGATGAGCTGGCACAGGATCAATGGATGTATTATTATTGATATATTTGACTATGGCGTGACGACATCTAGCATGCGGAAGCCACGAGCAGTGTACGAGAAACCGCGTACGCGTGAGTCAACAAGAAAGTGCGATCTGACCGAGGCTGAAGGCGACAACAACCTAATGTAATTGAAAACTGCTTCTTGTAAGTCCATGTCGCCAGTAAAGTATCATGTAATTAAAGAAGTTGATAAGATCGCAAATCAGAGTATAAGTTGAATGCACTGGCAACGCCCTTACGGGTGTGCCTAAAATAAGAGGTGCCAAAAGTATGGGTTGTCATCATTGTGCGATGAAGAAAACGGCAGAAGTACATACCGAGTAGTGAATGCAGGAGGAAGCGCAAGTAGAGGTGATCTGTATGTCTATTTCTTGTCAGCACTGGTCGCTCGCAAGATTTCATGCAGTAAAGCAGAGATGACACTTTTCAGAATAGAGATTTATGCACCGGCGAAGTTCCGAAGAACCCCGCCTAAAATAAGAGGCGTCGAATGCACTGGATCTCATAATTGTGATGGAAGGGAGGAACTGGGTTGAACTTACGTTGGGAGTGAGCTGCTGTAGCTGGCTTAGGGTAAGCAATTGCGAAAAGATATCAATCGTAATCTGATGCGCGATCATCTAGCTTCAACATAGCCGGGACAATCGCGCTTGCACGCCAAGGTCAATGTTTTGACATCGTGAGGTGTTGAGGACGAGGTTGGTCGCCGCAGACTTTTTGTCAGGCAGGAGCTTTGACGCTAGTCCGCGCACGGTCCACCACAGACCTAGCCGAGCCGCGAGAAATTGGAGTCTTCGATCGCGAACTTCAACCCACGACAAGCCCACCACCACGTCTCCGTACTAATCGACCAGGTCGCCATCCGGAACATTCATTCAATATGGGTCGTCTTCACAGCAACGGAAAGGGCATATCAGCCTCCGCCATCCCCTACTCCCGCAGCCCCCCGGCGTGGTTGAAGACCACCCCCGAGCAGGTTGTCGACCAGATCTGCAAGCTCGCGAAGAAGGGTGCTACACCATCTCAGTAAGACAATCGCTTGGAAAGGAATACACACGGAATTGGTCGGCTAACACAATCGCAGGATTGGTGAGATCCTCCGTGACTCGCACGGTGTCGCTCAGGTCAAGGTTGTCACCGGCAACAAGATCCTCCGAATCCTCAAGTCGAACGGTACGATTGCCCTATACACATGAAAGCGCATGTCAACACAGCTCTGCTCCTCGTGAGCATCTGCGCGCTATACAAAACTGCATTTGTTGGTCTAGGCTAACATTTTGCGCTTAAGGCCTCAGCCCCGACATCCCAGAGGACCTCTACATGTTGATCAAGAAGGCCGTTGCCGTCCGCAAGCACCTTCAGACCAACCGCAAGGACCGCGACTCCAAGTTCCGCCTCATTCTCATCGAGTCCCGTATCCACCGTGTAAGTTTGCTCGACTGAATCGTGTGGAAGAACACGTGCTAATCATCTTCAGCTCTCCCGCTACTACAAGACCGTCGGTGCCCTCCCCCCTACCTGGAGGTACGAGAGCGCCACCGCCTCTACCCTCGTCGCATAAGCAGATGTCGGATTGGTGTGGATGGTAGTCGTCATGGTAGACATTTAAGTGGAGTTTCACGGGCATGGATGCTTTGCGGATACCTAGCAGGATCACGATATGGAATGAATCAATCAAAAGCATCACCTCGAATTGAATTATACCCAATTTGCATTGAAAGTGTCAAAGTCTGGAATTTACTTGTTGTATTGCTGCTTGACTTGGGTATCATCCTGACGCCGTCTTATTACTTTTGGTGAACATCTGCCATGCGCTTGAAGTCGTCCCATGTCGCTTGCTCTTCAAAACCATGCTGCCTGTTCAATAGTCAAGCTTGACAAACAGATCGCGAAGCTCACCGCCCAAACACGCATGTGTATGACAGTCTCCTTCTCGCCCACGAGTGACTGAGCGACAGCTCCCCATGCGGCCGCCCATATACATGGCCTTATTGTATGCGTCCCAAATATGCCGTGCTCAACTCCTCCCTAGCCCGTCATCCCATCACTCATCCTCCACGAGCCCATCATGTCCCCTCAATCTCCCTACTCTTCCCCGCCAAGAACTCACTCAACCACTTGAGCGGCTTCTCCGGCTCCGCAGTAGCAAGATGTTTCATCGCCTCGAGCAAATGCGGCGTCACATGCTGATTCAAGTACACTCGCGTGGGACTACCGTGTGGAATGGGTTGTGTGGGCGCTTGCGCACTGGGGTGCGGTGAGTTGCGCGATGAGGCTGCGGGAGTGGGTGTCGGCGCTGTGGTAGCGGTCGGTAGATTTGGTGCGGAGGGCGGTGCTGGGGTTGAGGTGGAGGGTGTGGGCGGGACGGTTTGTACGCTGGGTTGGTGGGTGGTTGTTGAGGCTGAGGCGTCGAGGGTGGTGGGCTTGAAGGGTGTGTTAGTGAGGGTTCGGGTTGCTGATATATAGGGGCCGCTTACCGCTGGTGCTGCGCCTGAATCTGCCATTTCTACATCTGCGGGTTGGTCTGTAGGTGCTTGTTGCGCCTCGCCATTTGTGAGTGCCGGATCGATGTCGGGGTTTGCGACCGCTGGGTTGGAAGATGGTTCTGCCATTTGTGGAGCTCGGTATGAGTTCTTCTGGGTGTTTGACGCGAATTGGCGCGGTTGAAGGAGGTGAGAATTGTTGTTTGTGGTGTTGAGATGGGAAGTTGGACTTTCTTGAGAGCGACTTGGCAGCTTGAGCTTCGAGCGCGATTGATGTTCGGGCTAGCCTCGGCGTTTTGGAGCTTTCCTTCACTTTCTTTGGTGGCACCACCAAGACCTCCGCGTGTACGAGAGCACAATTCCTAGACCAGAATACCTTTTGGGGATTCTAAGGCTCTGGAATCGAGTATAGAATTACGCGTCCCAGCAATGACTTTGCCAGGCACAACTAAAGACACACGAACTTCGTCACACAATCCCATCATGAGAGCAGTATTTTGCACTTGAAAACAGATGATATGATAACTATCTTACAAGCTCGTCTACTTCGAATCAAACAAGCAAGGAACCAGAACGCCCTGCTACAGAAATGCAACCATCTCGAGACTCTTCATCATGCATTGCTCGGCCGTAATCCATATATATCCTCACTCGTGTTCATCCTTCGTCTGCATCATCAACATGAGCTCCTACAATACTGCGTAGCTGCGGCCATACGCATAAAGCGAAAACAAAAAGAAACAAAGCGCAATAGCAGTAACTCATAGAAAAAAGCCGTGTCACGCGGACCGTTTAGACCGTCTTCACACACAATGCTCGCATCCACCTATCGAGATCTTCGCTCAGAAGCATACCCCACATTCGTCGAAACAGTCGTCTTCATATCGTTATTCGTAATCACACTGTTGGTATCCCACGTCCCCGCCTCGGAAATAGCCGGGCTCGTCTGTCTCCTTGGTGCCCTCGGCCTTTCAGAACGGTGGTAGGACTTATTCTGGGACACCTGCGTAGCAGTAGCAGGCCCGTTGTTAGCGTGAGTGATCTCACTGCTTGTGTCCCAGGTGCCGGAGTCAGACCCGTCGTCAGAGAAACTGTGGTGCTCGTGCTGCTTTCGGAGTTGCTCGACTCGCTTGAGCTGCTCGAAGGGGCCGGGTGGGTAGCTCGATGGGCCAAGGTCGCTGAATTGCGCGGAGGGGTAGGGGACGTTGGTGGACACTGTTGTGGGAGGCGCACGTTGAGTGAACTCACTAGCGGTGTCCCATGTGCCGGTATCGCTGCCGCTCAGCCTTCTCAGCTGGCGGTGCATTATGCTTGAGTAGGGGACGTTGGTGGAGACGGTCGTGGGAGGCGCGCGATGAGTAGTGATCTCGGTATTGGTGTCCCACGTCCCAGTGTCGGAGACGTCATCATCAGACGCGTCATCGTCGGACACGCTGGGTCGGCGTAGCTGTCGAGGAGGCTGTGTGAAACGAGGGGTGTTGGTAGAGATAATTGTAGAAGGAGCGTTGTAGGAAGGGTAGGGCACGTTCGTAGACACGGTCGTAGGGGGAGCACGGTGGGTATTGATCTCAGTGTTGGTATCCCAGGTCCCAGTGTCAGACACTTCATCGTCGGAGACCTCCATCCTCATTGAGTTGCGAGGTGGTGGCATAGACCATCGTTCCGACTCGTCCACGTGTTGTTCCATAGGGTAGGGCACATTGGTCGATACGGTTGTGGGAGGCGCACGTTGAGTGACCTCACTGCTGGTGTCCCAGGTACCGCAGTCGGAAATGCTTCGTGATCGCTTCAGCTCCCAAGGCATTCCTGTAGGATAGGGAACGTTGGTCGAGACCGTGGTCGGTGGAGGACGCTGACTGATCTCAGTGCTCGTGTCCCAAGTGCCAGCGTCAGAGATGCTGCGTTGCCGCCGTATCTCCCTGGACTCTCGCTTCAACTCTTTCGAGTCTCGTCTTGAGTCGTACATGAAAGGATAGGGTGCGTTGGTCGTGATGGTTGTAGGCGCAAAGTCGTGAGTCATGATGCTGTTGGTATCCCATGTGCCAGCATCGGAGATACTCCTTTGTCTCTTGACCTCTCGTGATTCTCTCTTGGCCTCTCTCGACTCTCGGGATTCTCTCGTCAAGTTTGATTCCTTGGTTGAGTCCTTGCTGCCTCTTTCCTTCCTTCTCTCGCTCTTCACACTCTTCTCGGAGTGTCTAGCGCTGCCATGGGAGCCCTTCACCGGAGTGTTGGGATATAAAGCTTTCATAGCAGCACCACGCGTCTCGTACACATAACGAGCCTTTTCGCGCTCGGTTTTATCCGAACGGTCACTCTTCTCTGTCCGATGGCTGCGGCTGCTCTTCTCGGTTCGCTCGCTCTTGTCTGTTCGTTCGCTCTTGTCTGTCCGCTCACTCTTTTCGGTACGTTCGCTCTTATCGGTGCGCTCACTTTTGTCGGTGCGCTCACTTCGATCAGTGCGCTCGGTATCGGCAGACTTAGTCGTGCGAATGCTTGCCGCATAACCGCTCTTTCTGCGAGTGTGATCCGGTCGAGGAGTGATGTCAAACAGCTCGTCCTCGATGGCATGTTCGGTAGATCGGCGAGTGTGCGTAGAGCGGCGTCGCGAATGCGTGGTAGAGGTAGACGTAGTTCGCGTACGTTGGGGCACCAGCGTTTCGATCTCATCGATGGCATCGAACATGTGAGACACCGTGTCTACCGGCGTAGGAGCTCGCGAATCGGGATGCTCGTGGATAGTGTCATCCGTCGTAGTCCGCGAGAAGGACGGCGGTAGGATCGCGCTCTCCACAGACTGGCGATGGCGTATGGCTTCCGCGATTTCTGCAGCCGTTGAAGGTATGTCAGGCTTCGACGCAGGTTTCGGCGGTGGTGGCGGGGGCTTCTTCCTTGCACTCGGAGCATGTGAGGGAGCCAAACTCTCGACGGGCATGCCAATGAAGTTCCTGGGCGACGTAAACACGGACGTCGGGGGCGCCGGCGGACGTGAGAAGGTAGAGCCTGGAGGTGGAGGCTTCATCTTGTCATCCGAGGAAGGATTAGAGAAGAGGTTCAACGCTCGCTCGATAGCCGAGAGCTTCTTGGGCTTCTCTGGCTTCTCCGGTGACATCGGACGTGACACTGGAGATTCCTCATCCGTATTCGTCTCGGCTTTCGTCGGAGATCGAGGGGCGGGGGGAGAGGGGGGAGGTGGTATCGGGTCGCGAGGAGGCGGGCAAGCCTGGAAAGCCAGCGTGTTAGCCAAGTGATCTGAAGCAGTCTTTTCATCTTACGTAGATCTCGATATATCGCGAGCCTGTCAGAGGCTGGGTGAAGGAAGCTCGAAAGCGGTGCTAGGAACGCTGGGGTAAGGTGAACACGCGGGTGGTGTTACGTACCGGCGGCGGAAACTTGCCCTCGTCAGTCGGACTCGTTAATGCAGTGGTATGGGGAGGCAAACCAGCAGATTTGAGCTCCTCCATTCTCGTCACAACTGGCTCTGCATCATCATACAGAGCCAGCCCATGGTGGAGAATGCAGCCTTCGTCACGCTGCTCTTCGTTGTTCTGGAAGATCTCGTGCTTCGATTCGCGGTATACAACCGGGAAGATCCTGAGTAACAATTGTCGTTGCGAATCAGGAGGAGGTGGGTCATCCGTCGCTGAGCCTGTTTCTGGGCTGTAAGCTGGCCAGAACTGGTTGCTGGTAAATTGATGTTCTTCGTCGTGCAGCGCAGGCATGACGGCGGTGATCATTTCGCGCTCGAGACGAGCAAATCTCCATGTCTCCGCAGCGACCTTCACGATGCGCTTCACGGCGATCTTGATGCCTTCTTCCTCTTTTGGATCAGCAAAGTGTCGGATAGCGTTGACGATCTCCTCGACAACGGTTCCGGCAGCAGTATTGATGCGCTGCTTCGCGCCAGTGCTGGTAAAAGCAGCAAGGAGTGTTTGTTGTCGCCAAATCGCTTCTTTGCGGGTGCTCTTCTCGCGAATGTGGTGGCTCATCGAGGAGAAAAGAGAGTCGGCTTTGTCGTAGCGGCGTCCAAGACTGAACAGGAATGGGCCAAAGACACGGAAAGTAATGAGCTTCGATACAGTGTGGGCGATGTATGCGGTTCGGACTTGTCTGGAGGCAATGCTATCACCAAGGAAGGACGGTAGGTTGGACGGCACTTGCGCAAGATCCTCCGGCGGCGGCCTTACTGGAAGGTGAACGAAATGGGTTGTAGCAAGATCGATGATTTGCCTTTGAAGCTGAGTGAAGGATACCAGGCTAGACGCGATGATGTTAGCGAGCGACTCTGTACTGAACAAAGCGACAGTGAAGGGACGCGATAACAAACATCGCATTACGCGAGCGGTAGACGAGAAAGACAGTGTATGGCAATACACGGTGGCTTCCGTTGCATCATCACAGCCGCCGGCCAGAAGATAAGCAACTGATCTCGGTGCACTTCATTGCCCGTTGAAGGATAACGAAGCGCACCCAAACCGACCACCATCAACCAACACTGGCGGCAATGCAGCCCCTGCTACCATCGTGCCGGCATCAAGAGCGAATGTGCAAAACGGGGAATCACTTACTAGTAGCTGTCGCCCTTGCTCTTGATCTCGGCGATGTCACCATAGCATTCCATCATCTTCTCAAGTCTAGACTTCTCCGACTCAAGGTTGCTGGCAACGCTTCTGATGACCTCCTTCTCCCTCTGACTCTCGGCTCTGAGTTGGTCGAACGAGTTCATCAGCTCATCCTTCTCTCTCGCCAGTTGATCGGCTCTCGCTGCTTCTTCCCCAGCCCGGCGATCTGAGTCTTCTCGCATCTTCTGAAGGTCGTCGCGCTCCCTGATGAGTTCTTGCTCTCGGTCAAGAGCTGCCTGAAGCTGAGCCCTGAGCTCAGCCGCCTCGGCAGCATCTTGCCCAGCTTGCTTCAGCTTCTTGTCGAATTGGATAGCAAGGGCGATCTTCTCCGCATCGTGTTTCGTGTTCGTGGCCTCCTTCCATTCGTCGAAATCTCTCCATGCTCTTTCCCTCTCCTCGGCAGAGGTCCTCTCCAGCGTGCGATGCACATCTTCCAGCTCTTTGTACCTGTCCTCCCACGACCTCATGGCTGCATCCAGTACCAACTTGGTCTCTTCGGCGTCTCTTCTAGCTTTCTTGGTTTCAGCAATCAGCTCTCGGAGCTCTCTGACTTGCTCTTCCAGATTCCCGATCTGAAAGTGTAGTCTGGTTGCCTCGGCTGAATGCCTGTCTTCCAAGTTGCGAATCTTCTGCTTCAGCTCACCAATCTCACCATCCTTTGCGCGGAGTTTCTGCTCTTGCTCAGCAGTTTGCCGACGAAGCAGGTCCTCCCTAGCACGCAGTTGGTTGTGAGTCTCTTTGTAATGCGCAAGTAGAACGTGCAGATCAGTCTGCGGGATATGTGAGAGTGCGTCGCCAGACACGTGTTCGATTGCAGGTCGACTGGCTAAAACATGTGAATGAAGGTCTCTAGAACCAGAGGAGTCCTGTCGATGATGTGGGCTGCCATAAGGAGGGTACCCGGGTGGGTATTGGCTCCATGATTCCTGGTAGGGAGGGGAGGAAGAATGCGACGAAGGGCCGTAAGGATTGGGGTTAGGCGCGGGATAACCCTGCTGACTCATGCCGTAGGCATGATCTGGGTAGTGGTGAGGCGGCTGGGCTGGCGGGGCATAGTAGCTGGGATGATAATTTGGTGGAGGGGCCGGATAGGTGGGCTCAACAGGCACTCGGGATGCAAAAGCGCTACGTGGTTGATGTGGGCCTAAGTGGGACCGCGACACTTCATGCGCTTCACCGCTAAATGGACGCCTCGACGCTATCCTGTTTTGTACTAGAGCAGAATCTGAATCGTCGTCGCTGTCAAAGGTGGGAGCGTGTCTAGAGGGAAACATGTAGTTAGTATCGTAATCCATCAGAGTTCGGCCAGGAACCTTATGTATCTCGAGCATGTTCGCTTTGGGTCCGGCGTCGTGGTTGACGGTCCGCCGAAGAAGCGCCGAGAGACTACCTCACCGGACTGAGAAATGGAATTCACATACCTTGGTCGAGCTTTACTCATTGGCGGGCTCGGGGCCGCAGGTCTGTTATCCTCAATGAGCTGTGCCACAGCATAAGGCTTCGGTGCATGGTTTGGACCCGCTTCGTGTGTTCTAAGCTTCGGTGCATGTGGCGCGAAAGATCGATACGATCGAAACGGTCGATCAGAGACTGGAGAACGATCATGCATGTCAGGTACTCCCGAAGGAGGTGACGGAGCACGTGCTGATTCGATCATGGATCGACGTGCGATGAATGGTATCTCGGCTTGCTCACGTGACTCGTCCTGGGCCAGCCGTTCCAACCGTTCTGCTTCCTCTCTCTGCTCTTCCGCAAGGACATCCGCAGCTGCTCGGGCTTTCCTAGCAATTCGAGCCTCTTCGGCTCTCTCACGTCGTAATTGTTCCTGCCGGAGTTCTTCCTTCTCTTGTCGAGCACGTTCGGCAGCAGCTGCAGCTTCGACCTCTTCCTTCTCTTTCCGAGCCTTTTCGGCGACTGCAGCGGCTTCGGCCTCTTCTTGGATCTCCGCGGCCCTCCGTTCTTCTTCCATTAATGCCAGAAGCTTCCTCGCTTCGACAATCTGCTCTAACTTCTCTTGCTCGAGCCTTTCACGGGCCAGTCGCTCTTGTTCGAGCCTCTCGGTCTCCTTATGCTGCTCTTCCTTCTTGGCTCTCATGGTTTCCAGAGCCCGTTTCACGGCTTCGGCAGCTTCCAGCTCTTCCTGGGCCTCTCTTGCGCGTCGCTCCTCCAGTAGTCTGTTGGCCTCGGCCTCCTTCGCTAACCTCTCGTGCTCGATTGCTTCTTGCTCCAATCTCTTCAGTTCTTCTCGCTGTGCGTCTTCCTGGGGTTGGGCGGCCTGCGCTAGCGAGGCAGATTCTTGAGCCTCAGCAGCAGCCGCTGCTTCGGCCTCAAGCCGCTCTTGCTCTTGGTCGGCATGCTGTCTTGGTACTTTGTCTTGGGCAGCTACGACGAGCTCTTCTATCGGCTCAATGTGGGCATCTGTAGATGAAGTCTCGGGAATAGGCTCAGGCTGTGTGATTGTCTCAGGGGCTTCTGGTGCTGACATTCCTTCGACAGGCGCATCTGGTAGCCCGACGTCCACCGACCGTTCGACTGTTATTGGAAGGGCCTCGGACTCTGGTTCCGGTGCTGATAGATCCTCGACTGTAAAAGCTTCGATGATGTCGTCCTCATCACTCCCAACTGACACCACTGATGGAGCCTGAGGGGCAGCGGGAGCCTCTGGCGCTTCTGGTACTTCAGGTGCTTCTGGTACTTCAGGTGCTTCGGGTACTTCAGGTGCTTCGGGTACTTCAGGTGCTTCTGGTACCTCTGGCGCTTCTGGGGCCTCAGGCACTTCTGGTACCTCTGCTGCTTCGGGTGCTTCGGGCGCATCCGGTACTTCTGGCGCTTCGGCAGCTTCTGGTGGTTGCGGTGCCTCTGGTGCTTCTGGCACTTCCGGCGCTTCGGGAGCCTCGGGAGCCTCGGACGCTTCAGGTACCTCTAGTAGTTCTGGCACTTCGGGAGCCTCTGGTGCCTCTGGAACTTCTGGTACTGTGGGTGTGTCTAGGGCTTCGGGTGCCTCTGGCACTTCCGGCGCCTCTGGTACTTCAGGTGCTTCCATTATCTCTGGTGCCTCTGGTGCCTCGGCTATCTCCGCCGGATCTTGCTCAGCTCCGTTCTCCTTAAGACCGCCATCCATCTGGTCTATCGGTTCGATAGCTTCTTCCGTGGTGGTAGTAATTACTTCAGGTTCTGCTTCAGGCGCTAACTCCGTTGTGGATTCTTGTGGCGGGAGTGTGTCTTCAACCGGCGTGTCTGCTGGTTCAATAGAATCTTGAGTTGGAACGAGGTCTGGCTGGGGTGTGGACTCTTCGTCTAGTTGTAGGGTCTGCTGTTCCTCCGGAGTATTTTGCTGCTCTGCATTGGGTTCTGGGTCTTGCGTGTCTCCAACCCAAATAACCGATGACTCTTCATCTTCTTCTGTAGTATGATGCATGTCTTCAGCGCTTTGCCCGGCAATCTCTGACTCCACGGCCTCGGTAGTATCCGCTGGCGACCCAGATTCCTGCTCTTCCCCCATAGGTGGATCTAGCTCTGCAGCAGGTATGATCTCAGTGGCCGGTGCCTCTGCAGCCTCGTCTGGTATAGTCTCTATGGTCTCAGGGTGTTGTGAGGGTGCAGATGTGGACTCGTCCACCAGCGTGGGAACCGTACCCTCGTCGGGCTCCACTTCGGAAGCGGTTGGCATGGACTGCTCCCCGGACTCTGCTTCTGTGGCTGATTCCTCTGCTGTCAATGGAGCTTCAGGCGCATCAGGAATTGGTTCCGCAGCATTCGTTGGCACGTTGTCAGGTGGAGCAACGGGCTCCACCGGTTTCTTGCTGCTTTTCTTCTTCTTTGCCATAACGGCCGCCAAACGTGATAGTTCTTGTAAATAGCGTTAAAGACAACAAGAACTCCCAAATCCTGCGCTGGCGTTTGCGCTTCTCACGTTGAGCTCAGATACTCGCAAAAATTAGAAAAGGCGCCTGTTAACGGGGCATGACGACGGGGAACATGTCAAAAAACAACGAGCACGCGCGAAATCAGCATATAAGGAATGCGGCAGTGAAAAGAATGGAAGAGGATAGTACAAGCTGCAAACGCCTTCCCGCCCAATGGGAGATTGGCAGGGAAGTGCCAGCTCATCGTAAACTCGAGCGGTCTAATTTATATGCCCCGAGCGTTGCGTTACCAGCCATCGTATGCGACTTCGCGTGTCTGGTACAATTACGTCTATATGGTCTTGCTGCGCTGCTCACTCTGTACGACGATGGCGGCCAGCGACAGTGGACCGGCCACAGGCCATGGACCGAATTCTTTGTTGATGTTTACTGTCGGACAGCGATTCAACGAGCCGATATGCACGCGATGACGCCGCTGGGGCTCGAAAATTGAACCTCATGCAGCAGTGGCAGGGAGGGCGTTGTGGCGGTCTCCGGTTGGACAAGTTAGCTGCATATGAGCCTCGAAAGGAGCGCACTACAGCGGGTGCTAGCGGGAAAAGAGCAGCGGTGTGTGTGAAGATGCAGAAAAGAGGTGCGTTGTCAACAGCCTTAGCAGCTCTTGGCCCCACTGTGCCTAGCGCGCTTGGGCCCGTGGAACTTCCTCCGCGCTCCGACGCGACGCAGCCTCGACACGGCTGCTGGACTCCCATCACGCGCTCTGCACCCCCAACCGGCCTAGTACTGAGCATGTCACTCTGCGTTCGAGTGCTCTCCAGGTCCATCAAACGGGGGCGGCATGGCTAAGCTTCGGGCTACGCGCAAAAAGCCGATCGTCGTCTCATCCGAGTCTGAGGCGGATGATTCACATACACCGCCTCCCGCGCGTCCCAAGAGGGGCACACTAACAGGCGTCGCGACTGGGGCGCATGGAGAAAAGAAGGCTACCCGATCCAAGACACGTGCAGCCTCGCCCACGCGATCGCGAGCAGTTCCTACTAAGAAGTCTCCAGCCAAATCGCCGGCTAAAGCAAAGCCAGCATCCAAGCCCATCACTTCTTTCTTCAGTAATATACCGCGCTCGCAGTCGCTGCACCCCACGCCGAGCCCTGAGAAACCGGCCCTGTCAATTGAAGATGTAGACGATATCTTTGATTCCTCAGACGATGCGCCGTCCATCAAGCCCCCGAAACCCCTCCCCGTTCGTAAGAGACCGATCGCTGCGACAGCGCCAACGGACCCTGCCAATGCTGTGAGCAACAGGCAGAAGTTCTTGCGAACAGCGAGCGGAGCGCGTAGTACAACACCGCTATCCACAACACCGATATCGTCCCAGCCAGCGCGGCAGGATACAGAAGACCGGCGGCCGTGGACTGAAAAGTACGGCCCAGTGTCGCTCGATGAGCTCGCTGTGCATAAGAGGAAGGTGGCGGACGTGCGGACATGGCTCACTGACGTCTTCAGCGGCAAGGCACGCAAGCGATTGCTGCTGCTCAAAGGCCCTGCTGGCAGCGGGAAGACCACCACTATGTCCCTGCTGTCCAAGGAACTGGGCATCCACATGCATGAATGGAAGAACCCTATAGGTTCCATGTCAACCTCCGACAGTTTTGTGTCCGCTACTGCACAGTTCGAAGAATTCGTTGGAAGGACTGGAGCCTTTGGTAGTCTGGCCTTCGATGAGCCGACAATGAGTGCCCAGACGGCTTCGTCGAACAGTCAGACTGAAAGGCAGAAGCAGCTGGTCCTAGTAGAGGAATTTCCGAATACATTCACACGTACTTCTTCGGCCGTTCAATCTTTTCGCTCTTCCGTCCTCAACTATCTTGCTGCCAATACGCAATCAGCCACTGCTTTCTTTTCGACCCAGGTCGATCCCGAGCAGCCAGTGACCCCAATCGTAATGATAATATCCGAGACCCTGCTGTCTACCAACACGGCGGCAGCCGACAGCTTCACTGCACATCGGCTGTTGGGCCCTGAGATTCTGACCCATCCCGGAGTGTCTGTTCTCGAGTTCAACCCAATCGCCCCCACATACATGACAAAGGCGCTAGAAACGATTGTTGTCAAGGAGGCGCGCCAATCCGGGCGCAAGAAGACTCTAGGGCCACAGGCAATTCAGCGTCTTGCAGAACTTGGAGACATCCGCAGCGCTGTCTCCTCCCTCGAATTCCTCTGCCTGCGAGGTGATGATGCGGAAGGCTGGGGCGCGAAGGTCAACCTCACGAAGAAGAAGGGCCCGAAAGACATACCGATGACGAAGATCGAGCAAGAGTCGCTCGAAATGGTGACGCAGCGCGAAAGCACTCTCGGCATCTTTCATGCTGTTGGGAGGGTTGTGTACAACAAGCGTCTACCGGAGGACCCTAACACACCCATGGCACATCCACCGAACTGGTTTCCCGAAAGGCGAAGACCGAAGGCCTCGGAGGTCAATGTCGACACTCTCATCGATGAGCTGGGTACCGATACCCAAACCTTTGTCGCTGCTCTACATGAGAACTACGTCCTGTCCTGCGGCGCTGCAGATAGCGAGGAAACCATGGATTCTATCGAGGGCTGTATAGAAGCTCTTTCCGATGCCGACCTTCTATCGCCGGACCGCTTCGGCGCTGGCGCTGGCCGACGGGCCCTCCAAGGTACTAGTGCGGACAATCTACGTCAAGACGAGATGTGCTTTCAGACGAGCGTGCGCGGGCTTCTGTATAACCTGCCATATCCCGTCAAGCGCGTTGCACCGCCTCCAGGCATCATGGGCATCAAGGCGAAAGGCCAAGGAGCAAGTGGTGGAGCGGCCAAAGGCAACGCGTTTGTCATGTACTATCCGGCGTCGCTACGGATATGGAAACAACAGGAAGAGATTGAGGGCTCACTGGAGATGTGGGTATCAAAGGCGCAGCGTGGTGAGCTCTTTTCGACAGGGTCAACTACATCGAAAGCGGCTTTCTTGAGCGGAGGAGTCGAGTCGTGGAAAGGCAATACCTCGTTTTCACAGCCCTTATCAGCATCCGGCTCGAAAGATGCCGAAGACGATGCGCCAGCTTCAATTCACCTTGGAAGTGGCGGCTCGGCGCGAAATGAAATGCTCCTGGAACGTCTACCTTACATGACCACCATCTTGCGCAAATCACGCATGCCGAACCCATACACAGCAGCCACCGTGCGCGAAATCCGGAAGATCACAGCCTTCACCGGAAACGCTCTCTCTGGTGCCACTGAAGAAGATGATGCTGAGGAAGACATTCGCCCTGGCGAGCAAGAGCAGTGGTCTACGGACAAACCGACTCTGGAGACGCCGAAGAAGAGAGGACGAGTGAAGTTTGAGAGTAAGGCACAAGAGCCGGAAACAGCGATTGCTGGTTTAGCGGACAAAGGTGCTAGTCTCACGTTGAGTGATGATGATATCGAGGATTGATCGGATGGTATGGGGTTGTACAGTATAATATCTTGAAAATGCCACTACATGACGAAGCTGTATGGTGGAGAGCCCCTATCAACTTGCATGTGGCGTGTATAAACAGGACGTACGATATACAAAAGGTAGGAACACATGCGCATTGGACAAATCGCATTCGTCCCCATTGGCGTTCTTTGCAGTTCCTTCCCTTGCCGCCTTTCTGCCTTCTTGTCTTCCATCTTCCCGTCCCAATAGTCGCGATTTTGGAAGTTTGTCGCCGGATCGCCTCAGACCCATGAGACAGGTACAAGATACTACATTCTGTTCACTGCCCACACTATACAGTGCTCTCGATTATGCTGAAGCCACCAGATAAATTGCGGTGCCGCCTCATAAGCAAAGGGCTAAGCCTGTTCCGCGGGCTAAACGCGCAAACGCATTGTTACCACCTCTTGCGGCTACATCGATCGCGTCACCAAAACTTCAGTCTACCAAACAACGGTCTCTCTCTACGAGCTTTTCTGGCTGCTTCAGCTGCTTCAGCGGCGTCTTTTGCTAATCGCACTCCAGCTTAGCCAACGAACAAGAGACATACACAACACTATGTCAACGCAAACTCACCATTAAGCTCATCTGCAACTTTTTTCATAGCTTCCAAAGCCTTCTCAAAGAACGGTTTCAGCTCTAAATGCTCAGGGCCGAATTCATGCCCTCTGATGTCATACTGCTTGAACCAGGCCTCTAGGGAATCAATTGGCGAGTGGCCGCGCGGATCCCGAGAAGGAAGCCTGGGGTCAGCCCCGGCGTCGAGGAGCAGATTGACAATAGGGAGATTTTGCTTGAGATGGGCAAAGTCGGCGGGCCAGCCATCTTCGATTGCACAGTCTAGCGGGCGGCCTACACCGCGGGGGCGCGTGTCGACTTCGTTGGGAGAGAAGCCTTCGGATAGAGCAGCGCGCATGGCGGCAAGGCGGGTTTCGATGGGCTCATAGGACATCGGCTGTGTTAAGAGCGGGCTGACTACCATGGTGATGGATTGGGCTTCGTTGGCAAGAGTTGAAGATGGGAGCAGGAGTGGAACCAAGAACGGTGTTTGTAGGAAGTTGCACGTCGTAAGTCGCGCTGAATTGCGGGTGTAATGTATGTCGCTGCTGCCTGCGCGATCGCAATGTAGCCAGAGGGGCTTCGTGGTAACGAAGACACACGAGGTGATGTACTCCAGTTCTACTCTCTAGAAAGATGAGCCTGTATACTTAAATATTGGAAGTAGTACGGGTTCGAATTGACGCGAGGCCTGCCCAGGTGATATTGCTGTCGGTCTTGACGTTCAGGCTGTCTGTCGCCTGGGGCTGCTATCAAAAGATTCCCCTGAATTCGCTACTGTTTTGGTATTGATGACCATAAACATGGTCTTCGGGTATCGCTGCACATTCTCTCGCAGTGTTAAGGCTGCGGAAGTTGTGAGTGGTTCATTGCGCTCTGCGTCATCGCAGGCAAGTGCACGTGAGTGGGCGAGGCACAACCTTGGAAGATGTCGCGTGTCGCATGTCAACGTTGGGAAGTAAACTACCCCACAATCTATCGCGCACATTGCGAGCGTGTTTACTCTTCAATTCACGACATCGACGCCATCATCCTAGCGTAATTGTTCGTGCAGAATGACTCCATCCTCGGTCGTGGAGGGCCGAGGCCGAATCACGCTACTGCTCGCCCGCTTCCCGGTGCCGGCACTTGCACCATGCCAACATCTCGGCCAGCGGTTCTCTTCCTACTCCACATCTCGCTCCCACACACCGAAACCCTCGGATCTGGGCACCGAGCTTCTCAGACGCGCAAGGGCACGATCCTAGCCATGCAAGCGTATGTCTTCGTAGCCCATTACCCGGTCGGTCACAACGCGTCTCGACGCGTATAGAGCGCTAACGTCGACGTGCAGGTGCGATCACTGTCATGAGAGGAAAGTTCGATGCGACAAGCTTCTCCCGTGCCGACGATGCAGCTTGAATGGATCAGAATGCCGCTATACAGATCGGACCAAAGCGCGCACCTACAGCCAGGCCCACGTAGACACGCTTGAACGCAGAATTAAGCGCTTAGAAGTTCAAAATAGGACTCTTGTGCAACAAAGGAGGGCAGACTCAGTATCCTCTACAGGCCAGAATTCCGCCCCCAATGCCCAAAGTAATCATTCCAGAAACGACAGTGGCACTTCGCAGCGTCGTACATCTACCGACGTCGCGGGTGAAGTGTCCTACCTCTCGATCAATGCGTCCGGAGAAAGGAACTATCTGGGGTCGTCAAGCGGCATACTTCTCGCGAACTTCATCAGAGCCAATGTGGACGTTGGAACTTCAACGCCGTCGACAACTCCACCTGTTGACGCTGATGCTATCAACGCGACTGCTTCCGCTATTGAGTTTGCTCGAGACTTACCATCTGAACAGACAGCGAGCAGACTTGTACTGTCATATCTCAACCATGACCACTTACGCTACCCTGTGGTCCTCCCTGCTACTCTCGGTGCGATGCTTTCGGAAATATATAGCTCGAACGCGACTTCATCCACGCGCTCCGCAAGTGAAACCTTCATTTTCGACATGGTTCTCGCTATCGCGACAGCCAGCATCTGCCGGTCCGATTGGCAAGGGCTACCAAGTGCTCATACTCATTACATACGGGCGATGAAGCGAGCCTCGATCGTCTTGGAGAAAGGCGGGCTCGGCGCACTTCAAGCAGTTATCCTGTTGATTCAGTATCGCATGAGCAGTTCCATGGAAGATACCTCAGCCAGTATGTTGCTACACCTCCATACATCAGAGCAGATCTTGCCTGATCGCAAGAGCCATCTAATAATTACACAGGCATGTGGCATCTGGTAGGAGTGGGAAGCAGAATTGCCCTGGAACTTGGCCTTCATTGTGAAACTGCATATCCTTACAAACGCTCGGATGACTCTACAAGTAATGCAGACTTGAGTGCCGATCTTGTACAGCAGGAAGTTTCCCGGCTTTGCTTTTGGAGCATTGTGGCTATGGACAGGTATGTTAAGCAATTGTGACGCGAGCATATGCCAGAGGGTGAACTAGCTGACAGCGTACTAGAATAGTCAGCAATATACTTGGCAGACCTCTGGCAATTCACAACGACGACGTAGACGCGGCACTACCGTCTGACCTATGTGACGTGATCCTGCTTTCTGGACTCGAAACGCCCATGGTCGAGAACCTGGTCAAATGCCGCCGCATACCAATTTTCGTTCAGATCATCAAGTATCGCCTACTGTGTGGTGATATCATCCAGACTCTGCACAGTCACCGTCGAAGAAATCAGTCGGATGATGAGCTCCGCCACCGTAGAAATGAATTCGCTGCCGACCTCAGAGTTTGGCGCCTGAATGCCGAAACCGTCGCTCATCCGGGTTCTCTGGATGAAGGCAGGCCTTCATCTTGCTTCACTTCACCAACTTGGTTCGAGATGATATACCATAACGCCGTGCTAATGCTCCATCGACCATCGCCCACACTGGACACGTCAAGAGACTCAGTTGCGGTACAAGCGATTTTCGCCTCCTCTCAGGCTTCCATATCCTCGTATGCTAGCCTTCATCGTATGGGGCTCTTGAATCACAGCTGGCTTTCATTACAAGCTTTGTTTATGGCAGGGTTATCATATGTGTACGCTGTAACGATGCACTACCAGGCCATTCGGAGACAGCAAGGTCAACGACTAGGTGGTCTGCTGATCAGAAATCCAAGCACTATGGAAGTGATTAGCGATACACGAACATGCTCAAACGTCCTTGTAGCGGTATCGGAAAGATGGAAGTCGTTGCAACGCTGCGTCGATGTCTTCAACAGGCTGAGCGATGCTATCCTAATCGACGTTATCAAATTCAGCACACACCCCATCGCCGTCACCGCCCCTGCGGCCAACAGCACAGAAGACAGTGCCCACCAGTGCAGCAACCGGTCGGAGCTGGCGGCGGATGCAGACTCGAATGGGTTGGGCCAGCCTCACTGGATGCACCCACAGTACCTTCAGCCTGTTGGAACCGATGGAATGGTGTCTAATGCATCCCCACTGGCGATCGAAAATGAATTCAAGGGCTCTGCGTATGATCTACGACAAATGTACGATCAACAACAAGTCGACATGTCCGTGTATCGGTTCTCTCAGGCGTGGTTCGACAGCTTCGACTTGTACGGTGGTATGGAACCTCAGCTCAACGACATGACAATGGATACGCATTTTTGATGTTAGCATGCTTCCACCGTTGCCAAAGCTGGCTTCGTATGAGGCTGCCCGCTTTTGCGCGGGGTGAAGCAATCGACAGTTTCGAGTGTGCCGGAAATTGGCCACAATCAATTGGCTGGAATTATCGGCGCCACAATCACCACACATCTGTCACGCTTGCGGCTCACGGAAGATGCGGTCGCTCTGGAATAGTTACATTTGCGTCTTTCGGCGTAGGCACGCCGAGCGGCGTCGTTGCCAAGCAGTCCACCGGTAGTCTTGCTCGGGGCGGCGTCGCCGAGGGGTGGTGACCCGCCACTGCGAGTCAGCGCTTCGGAGCGGGACTACCAAAGTTGGGATCTTAGCGCCCCAACCCTGACTTTCATGTCGATATCTGGTGCGAGGACACCATTATCCGGGGCGACCCCATGGGGAGAAGGACTAGTGTTCGATGCGCGGGGTAAATGAACGAGATTCGATATAAATCACTGTGCCGTCAATAGGGCCATGCATCTTTTTCGCAGTGCCTTTAGCCTGGGTTCTTGCCCTACTCTTGACGCTGAAAGACCCTATCGACGATACCATGGCGGTACCACAACCTGAGCCCGTACAGGGTGTAGAATCTCCCATGTCAGGTCACACCGTGGACCCCATCGATGAGAAGTTCCAGAGCCAGCATATGGAGTATGAGAAAGTCGAGGTCAAAGGTGATTACTCTGGGGCCGTGGCTAAGACGAGCCCTGAGGAAAAGAAGCTCGTCAGGAAGCTGGATATCTGGATTATGG